CTTTCCAACAACCTCTCCTCTGGATCCTTCCCTTGTTACTTGGTGGTGAGTAGTTATGCATAACAATACATTTGTGCCTGCATGTGTGTTTTCTTCACGCACCGCTGGCCAGAAAAATTATATTGGGGTGGTATGAATTTCAGTCGGTAATTGCCAGTAATCTGAGATGGAACAAAAACATTGTTATATGGACCAACCCTCCTTGATCCATGTTAAACCCCAGGTAGCGCCACCTTACTGAGGACATCAATGTGACTGGGTGAAATGGCCTGAAAGGTTACCTCAGAGGAGGGTAAAAGACACGTGTTGTGAACAATGCTAAGCCCTCTCCTCTCTTCACTGGGAGCGTGCATCTCCACTTACGGTCTTAAGGCTTCTGGGGGTTCGGGTTAGCAGACTGCGGGACACGCAACGTCAGTGGAGAGATGGAGTGTCCACAGGGATGGGGGAGAGAGGGAGAGTGGAATATAGAAGGATGGGGAGGGAGTGAGAAAGAAGTAAGGAGGGATGGATGGATAGAGAAAAATGGGGAGTGGGAAACAGAGATGGGAGGGAGGTAGAGATGAATAAAGGGATGGGACAGAGGGAGAACATGGACAGGGAGGAAGAGAGAAGGGTGGAGAGGGGTAGGGGGGGAGAAAGGGGGATGGGAAAAGAAGGGAGAGGGTGAGAGTGGAAGAGAGAGATGGGGAGGAAAGGAGGGCACGAGGGATGGGGGCTGGGGGGCACTCACTACTGTGCGCAGTCGATGAGCTGGTACTCGTTGGAGCGCTCGAAGCAAGCCTTCACGCCTTCATCGTCCCACAGCTGCTTGGCATGCTCGAAGAACTCCTGTTTTTCCACGAAAGACAAGAAAAGAGGGAAGAAGAGAGAGAGACGGGGTTAGGAGGAGGAGAGACACGTGACAGCTCAGGGAGAACTCTGTTGTCAAAGCACGGCGTCTTCAACAGGAGCTTTAGTTTTAGACAAGAGAGCCAACTTGTCATCACGTTGGGTTCGCTGTACATTTGCACGATATATTAAAGTACATTTCATATGAGTGCCCTCTGTAGCAGCAGGTTAGATGATCACAAGTGTCTTCCATCATACATTATTCAGATGTTGAACCGTGTGAACTGATTTGTCGTACAGGATGAGATAAATAAAACTACAGAGGAAAACGTCTGATCCATTCACCACGTGAACACACAAACAAGAATAAGGGGGGTAAATTATACCGCTCTCTGAGAAAGAGCATCCCCATAATGACCTATTCAATGAGAGGCAAGTGAGTGGAAGAGCAGTGGACAGAAGGTGTGTGGTGGAGGAGGTTGGGAAGGGACCGGGCTAATCTAAACTTCTGGTGCCTTCTAGACAGCCAGAAACACGCCAATATAAAGATGAACTTTTAAAATCCAAACTGAGAAAGATGCGACAATATGAAGCTGAACTTTTAGGGACAAACCAGCACTAAAATTCAAAATGCTTTTTTCGACACAACACAAAACACACTGTTCGCCGTCTTCTGCCTCAGAAGTATACCAATGGGAAAGAGGGAGGGAGGGACGAGTGGAGGCAGGAAGGCGAAGAGAAGAGAGAGGGAGGTTCTGAGAAAGAGAAGACTTGTTTTCCCCCCCGCGTGTTCCTTAGAGAGAGCCGAGAGCTGGGTTTACAATAATTAGTCCCCCGGTGGGGTCATCACATAATAACCACAATACAGGCAAACAAATGGCAACAGACGCAAAACAAACTCCGATGCTAAAGTCGCTAACGCCGAGGCAACAACAAGGCCTTCAGCGAAGTTTGAAGCACCCTTTAAATGGCAGCTTGTTCACGACTCTGCTAAACAGTCTGTGCTGAACTGTTGAATTACTGTGCCGTATCGACCGTGTATCTATTATCAGCAATGTGTCAACCATTTTCCAGAAACAAAACACAGTAGGAGGCCATTTACTCATTTTGACATAGTTAACTTTTTTACTTTCACAACTCAATACTACCATAAGAAAAACAATTCCTCCACAAACTGTAATGTGCAAAATATGCAAGAGAGAATTCCTACATAGTTCTCATGGTATTTCACAACAGAGAAAAAAACACCTCAAAACTACATCTTACTAAGCTTCACTTAACAGGTTACGCCTAATACAACAAGTGTAGACGTTACCGTGAAATGCTTACTTGCAAGCCCTTAACCAACAATGCAATTTTAAGAAAATAGAGTTAAAATGTGATTTGATTTGATTACTGTGAATGCCTCCCTCCGCACACTGAAATCCAGCTGTGTATAGTATATGAGCACAACCGCACCTCTCGGACTTCCTCTTTACCCCCATTAGATCCAGGTGACATTTTTATGCACCGACGCAGCAGAGTCAGGATCTCTCTCTCCTCATGCAAAGCAGAGTGCGCCTGTCTGCTAGGGCAGTTTCCTGGCCAAGGCTGATGATCTCACTGCGAGAACAGGAAGTCACTAAGCGGAGAGGAGGACAGAAGCGGGAGAAGGACACAGAGACAGTTCATCTGCTCTGCTGCCTTTATCAGCCCAGACGCTACCGTACTATGTGTTTACAGGGAGAACGGAGAAGATATGGGGATGTTGCTTTAACGTGTGCCATGTTACTACGTTACAATAACACTGAGCCAGGTCCTGTCGGTCTCGTGACTGAGGAAAATCGGATGTTTTTCCCCATATGAGTCATTACTTGCACTGTTGTCAGTATCACAGGGATAGCAATGAGGGTGCTCTAGAACGTTCTAGAACTACTGACAAGCACACAGCCAATCCTTTTCTACAATTTTGTCTAATTGTTTTTGGCTAAGAAATTTAATGAACTGTGGAGTGCAAAAAAGGGGAGGTACCCAACCTACTGAAATACACAGATAATAAAGTCAAATTCACCACTATGAAATCCAAATTTACACCAGTTTAAATTCCTGAACGAAACACTTGAGCGAAAAACTAAAGAACTGTGGAGAACCTATGTAGCCAACGTGATAGGCTGCCTATCTCAGGTATGGGGAATACTAAAGCAGCCCTGTGGGTCCCCACAGTCAAAACTCACAGGGCCCAACACTGAGCCCTGGGGAACACCTGGTGAGACAAAAACACGTAAACAAAAAACACTGAAGCCCATTAGGAGCCCTCCCATTTAACCGCCACGTCCTTTACTGAACCTAAGCCTTCATTAACGACGAGGCTAAGGCAAAAATAGTCATTAGTAGTTGGGTTATAAAACGGCTAGCCCATGGGGCTGTGGCTAATGATGTCCCTGGCTGCTTTTCAGGCATCCTCCAGTCCCTCCACACCGCTACCAGTGTGATCACCTCAGCTTCCCTGGGCACACTCACCCACCCCTGGGTATCAATGATACCCCTTGTATACCCACCATTGGACCAGAGAGAGAGATTGTGCTAGGACACCGCTGTCTTTAGTGCCACAACATTTGAGCTCCCGAGGTCAATCTATGGAGGATGTGACTGTTAGTTGTTAGGGCCACAGTTCTGTCCAGGTGATGGGTGAGATCACAGTTGTGTAAAGGCGGTGTTCAGGGTGGTCTGGTACCTGACCTAGAACACAGGAAGGCTACGTTTTCACTGGGGATGTTCCACTCAAAACAACTGTGTGTGTGTGTGTGTGTGTGTGTGTGTGTGTGTGTGTGTGTGTGTGTGTGTGTGTGTGTATGTGTGTTTGGAGGGAGGGAGGGGATACTACCTGTCTCTTATGCAACACTATTGTGTTATGGTATCCTCCACAGACAAATCAAAGTTCTGGTGAGACGACATTCTCAGTCATGTGTAAAGAGTAATGAACTCAATTAAGCCCTTTGGGTAGCCTGCCTGTCAGCTACGGTTTGCTTTGGGTAGCCTGCCTGTCAGCTACGGTTTGCTTTGGGTAGCCTGCCTGTCAGCTACGGTTTGCTTTGGGTAGCCTGCCTGTCAGCTACGGTTTGCTGTCACTAAATGCTTGATTAAATGATCAAGTATTTCAGTTTGTGCATGTGGATACATTTTTATACATGTTCCATAAACCTTGCATGTAGCTATATCCACATTGTTATTCATGTCCACCCCTTTTTTGAATAAGATGGTTCATCAAGTTTATGAACACAACATCAAACATGAAATCCCATGAACGATTCCCTTGAATGTTTTTTCGGTTTAGAAAATCAAGTTTGAGAGCACAATGAGACAAAGGATACTTAGAGATATATATATATATATACACACATACAGCTACACACTATGCAATGTTAAAGGAACCCCACTATCTTTATCACAGAGCCTGATTTTCTAGCCCAGGTATAGCTTTACTGTCATACATAAGGCTACGATGAGTCATCAACAAAATGACGAGGCTATTTATAGAACACACACACCATCAGACAAAATGGTCAGGGGAGACACAGCGCTGGTCACAACGCCAGCGAGGCGTGATCCTGAGTCTCTCAGCTACGTCCTGTTACACTTCAAAACCCCCCTTCCTGTCAAACACACACTGACGCGCACAACCACTTTGTGGTCGAAACATAAGCAAATCTCAACTGTCTCTCTTTCTGTCTGTCTGCCTGTGCATTGCCATGCTGTAGAGTAGGTTAACCTGGTCTAAATGGCTGCTGTCAGGAAATGGTGATGCAGGCCAGAGCAAAGGAGCGAGCGAGAGAGAGAGAGAGAGAGAGAGAGAGAGAGAGAGAGAGAGAGAGAGAGAGAGAGAGAGAGAGAGAGAGAGAGAGAGAGAGAGAGAGAGAGAGAGAGAGAGAGAGAGAACGAAAGAACGAAAGAACGAAAGAAAATAAAGAAAAGAAAGAAAAGAAAAGAAAGAAAAGAAAGAAAGAAAGAACGAAAGATCTGGTCCTGTTACCAATTCTGCTGTTTTATTTTGTCACTGGCTGACAAAGAGAAGAATGGATCTGAACTGGATCTGTGGGTGACTGAATGTGTTGAAATGCTAGCCTGACAATACACACCCCATAGCCCCAAAAAGTTTACAAACATGTCACACAGAATTTCAGGGAACCTTCTTAGAACTAAAACAGAAAAATATCGGATTAATCTGCAATTATCTATGGTCTATTTTAGTTTAAGGATGTTTGGGTGGGGAGACAGTTACACAGTAGTATTCAGTGTCTTCAGCAAGCATTACAAAATGTCATTGCTGAGGTCTGTCTGAAGGCTGGGCTTACCCAGCCAAGACTGGAGGTCTGCGACTCAAATGATCATTTCATTTAGATTAAAAAGCCTATCGGTCTTCATCTTGCAATCATTGGCCTACTAACTAAAACATATGACTGATTTCACTTCGTTTACACATGCTATGTCGGCTAAATTAAGTCAAAGAGAGCCAGTTTACTCCATACTGCACTGTAGTGTACAGTGTTCATCACGTCCACCATTCCAACCTTGTCCGCTACACTCTGGTGGGTCCCTCCAGCCGACAAGCTAAAAAAGACTTAGAAGCGCCAATGGCTCTCTCCTCTTCCAATGGCTTAACAAAGGAGGTATAATATGATCAAGCTGTGTGTGTGTGTGTGTGTGTGTGTGTGTGTTTGTGTAAAGAAGCAGGAGACACTCCTCAGGGCTCGGTTTCAGGGAGGCTCGTGACACAGTGTGAATAAATGCAGTATACAGTTTACTGCCTCTAATGGAGGGGCCAATGAAAGAGAGCAAACGGGACGTTGTGCACATAACTAACTTACGGCTCCTTAACCGTTTCATTCCTATAGCCGCATACCGCACTCTCACCATATTGGCCAAACCTTATTAATCCAATGTACTGACATTTCTGTAGTCGTCTCAGATAAATGTCTTCATTGGTAGCTGCCGTCATTTACATAAGATATTAACGGGGTGTGTGTTTTATATAATCGATTGTTACATCTTAACACCTACATCTGCCATCAATAGTTTAAATACAATAGATAGACACAAGTAGATTAAATCTTTGAAGGTATAGTTGTCATGTTGCATATTTAAGTCTCAAATGTCAGCTTTGGGCAGATGGAAAAGGCATTGTAGACTGTCCACTGAACACATGAGAATGTACTGGTGCCAAGTGGCCCCAAAAACAATCTAAGATTATTCTAGTCTAAACGCTACTGGCACCACGTCAAGATAAAATGTATACTCGTCAATTGTGTAACTGCAATCAACTGCTGATGCTTTCTTTGAAAGCCCAGTGGTTTTTGACCAGGGTGTATGTTATCTGCTGCCAATATAAGCATTTGAGCCAGGGCAGCAGCATCACTACAGACACCCTGGTTCGATTACAGGCTGTATCACAATCCGGCTGTGATTGGGAGTCCCATAGGGCGGCGCACAATTGGCCCAGCGTCGTCCGGGTTTGGCCTGTGTAGGCAGTCATTGTAAATAAGAATTTGTTCTTAACTGACTTGCCTAGTTAAATAAAGGTTCAATTACATTTAAAAAAATACAAGCCATATATTTTGCCAAATTTATTTCAGCCTAAATAATGGCAGATCAATCTCTGAAAAATAAGATAGACGTGAAGACATGCCTATTGGCTCTGTCTTATCATGATAAACTGCTCGTGATTATCAATTATCAATGAGTGCGGGTGGGTAGTGATTAAAGCGTATGGTATGAATCTCTGCTTGTTATTGTTTTAATAATCTGAAGGGAACCATTTTGAAAGTGTGTGTGTGTGTGTCTCTCTCGTGGGCATGGTGCATGAAGTTGAGGGCATAATTTCATTAACTCAAGTGAAATTCAACAAACGTGAGGTTAAACAAACCCATTTGTTACACAACTTAAACACTGGACAAGTGCTCTTCTTAGAAAGTCCCTTTTTTAGAAAAATTAACAGTAACAAGTTACACATGCAGGCGGTAATTGGATGATACGAATCTACAGAAACAGGGCTTTACATGTGACATAGGAGGCAATACATGAAACACGGACCTGCTTTAGAGGAAAATATTAATTTGTTTGAATGCTGCGAGGGCCTCTCTTTGTCCACATCTCTGAGCCACTAGCCAGCTGGTTTACAAACAGAAATCGATGTGCCTTTACATAATAGGCCTAATTAATGAAACCTGTGTTGCAGCCAAAACATCTACTGCTCCTACTGTCCATGTTTTGACCGACTGGTATACAGTATGGATCTCCACTAGTATGAATACACAGACGAACAGACGGACGGACAGACAGAGACGGGACAGAGACGGGACAGATACCTCCAACAACTGGGCAACACCAGAGAGAATAGGACTAAAATGGCGTTCTAACAAGCTTTAGTTTGAACGCTAAAGCAAAAGCACTTGATTGAAATACCAGATTAACTCAAAATGTCTGACCTGAACAACATTGACATGATTAAGGGAGGATCTTTGACACACAACGCAATAACCTTCATGTACCACTTCTTCCTATAGTGGTCCCTTATAAAAAGCTAATCAATTCTATACAGCTGAAACGGAAGCTCGTAAGTAACAAATATCCTCATCTCGGGGTCAAATAAACTTTTGAAAGTCCCATATTTCATATTTCATGTTTGTGGTCCACTCACAACCAGTGTTTACTATTAGCAAGCCAACTGTCAACATCACAACAACCTTCATCAGCGCTCGTAGAGTTCACAGTTAAAAACATTAGATAACAGAGTATCAACAAACCCTGGAGCAGACCCTTATTCTCATCATCCGTTTCATGTCGTCTGCAGCGTCGCTGACCCAACACAGGGAATCTGAGAAGCTAAAAGAATCGACTGTTTGGATTATTTCGTAACACCTCGGCACAAACAGACCAACGCTTTGTCTGCCTTGCCTTGACCCAGTGCACACAGAGAAGGCATCAAACAATTCCTTGTGAGGGAGAAGGGACGGCTTTGATTTAAAAATGGCTAATGATGCGCTCCCCCAAACTCCGCCCTCCGCCAAAAAAGAAAAGAAAATTAGGTTACTAAAAGCTTTTTTTAGAAAGCCGACTCATCATGTAACAGTTGATTAGTATTTATCTAGTCCAACAGATGTGTCCAGATTGCGCACTGGGCCAGCTTCCCCTTAATCACTGTCTGAAAAAACAAGGTTCCTGATGGGAGCAAACTTTTGGACCCATGTCCGATTTTGTGGACATTCCAATGGAAGAACAAAAACCAACAGCCAATAGGAACTCATATTGGGTATATACTGTGTATCATACACTGTATACATTGATGGAAAAAAGTATTTGATCCCCTGCTGATTTTGTACGTTTGCCCACTGACAAAGAAAGGATCAGTCTATAATTTTAATGGTAGGTTTATTTGAACAGTGAGAGACAGAATAACAACAAAGAAATCCAGAAAAGCGCATGTCAAAAATGTTATAAATGTATTTGCATTTTAAATGAGGGAAATAAGTATTTCTCAATCAGAAAGATTTCTGGCTCCCAGGTGTCTTTTATACAGGTAACGAGCTGAGCTGCTCCTAATCTCAGCTTGTTACCTGTATAAAAGACACCTGTCCACAGAAGCAATCAATCAATCAGATTCCAAACTCTCCACCATGGCCAAGACCAAAGAGCTCTCCAAGGATGTCAGGGACAAGATTGTAGACCTACACAAGGCTGGAATGGGCTACAAGACCATCGCCAAGCAGCTTGGTGAAAAGGTGACAACAGTTGGTGCGATTATTCGCAAATGGAAGAAACATAAAAGAACTGTCAATCTCCCTCTGCCTGGGGCTCCATGCAAGATCTCACCTCGTGGAGTTGCAATGATCATGAGAACGGTGAGGAATCAGCCCAGAACTACACGGGAGGATCTTGTCAATGATCTCAAGGCAGCTGGGACCATAGTCACCAAGAAAACAATTGTTAACACTACGCTGTGAAGGACTGAAATCCTGCAGCGCCCGCAAGGTCCCCCTGCTCAAGAAAGCACATATACAGGGCCGTCTGAAGTTTGCCAATGAACATATGAATGATTCAGAGGAGAACTGGGTGAAAGTGTTGTGGTCAGATGAGACCAAAATTGAGCTCTTTGGCATCAACTCCACTCGCCGTGTTTGGAGGAGGAGGAATGTTGCCTATGACCCCAAGAACACCATCTCCAACCGTCAAACATGGAGGTGGAAACATTATGCTTTGGGGGTGTTTTTCTGCTAAGGGGACAGGACAACTTCACCACATCAAAGGGACGATGGACGGGGCCATGTACCGTCAAATCTTGGGTGAGAACCTCCTTCCCTCAGCCATGGAATTGAAAATGGGTCGTGGATGGGTATTCCAGCATGACAATGACCCAAAACACACAGCCAAGGCAACAAAGGAGTGGCTCAAGAAGAAGCACATTAAGGTCCTGGAGTGGCCTAGCCAGTCTCCAGACCTTAATCCCATAGAAAATCTGTGGAGGGAGCTGAAGGTTCGAGTTGCCAAACGTCAGCCTCGAAACCTTAATGACTTGGAGAAGATCTGCAAAGAGGAGTGGGACAAAATCCTTCCTGAGATGTGTGCAAACCTGGTGGCCAACTACAAGAAACGTCTGACCTCTGTGATTGCCAACAAGGGTTTTGCCACCAAGTACTAAGTCATGTTTTGCAGAGGGGTCAAATACCTATTTCCCTCGTTAAAATGCAAATCAATTTATTACATTTTTGACATGCGTTTTTCTGGATTTTTTTGTTGTTATTCTGTCTCTCACTGTTCAAATAAACCTACCATTAAAATGATAGACTGATCATTTCTTTGTCAGTGGGCAAACGTACAAAATCAGCAGGGGATCAAATACTTTTTCCCCTCACTGTATACAAAAGTATGTGGACACCCCTTCAAATTAGTGGATTCGGCTATTTCAGCCACACCTGTTGCTGACAGGTGTATAACATCGAGCACACAGCCATGCAATCCACAGACAAACACTGGCAGAATGGCCTTACTGAAGAGCTCAGTGACTTTCAAGGTGGCACCATCATAGGATGCCACCTTTCCAACAAGTCAGTTTGTCAAATTTCTGCCCTGCTAGAGCTGCCTCAGTCAACTGTAAGTGCTGTTATTGTGAAGTGGAAACGTCTAGGAGCAACAACGGCTCAGCCGCAAAGTGGTAGGCCACACAAGCTCACAGAACAGACCAGGGTGCTGAAGCACATAAAAATCATCTGTCCTCGGTTGCAACACTCACTGAAGAGTTCCAAACTGCCTCTGGAAGCAACGTCAGCACAATAACTGTTCGTCGGGAGCTTCATGAAATGGGTTTCCATGGCAAAGCAGCCGCACACAAGCCTAAGATCACCATGCGCAATGGAGTGGTGTAACGCTCGCCGCCATAGGACTCTGGAGCAGTGGAAACGCGTTCTCTGGAGTGATGAATCACGTTTCGCCAACTGGCAGTCTGACGGACAAATCTGGGTTTTTGCGGAGGCCAGGTCAATGCTACCTGCCCGAAGGCATAGTGCCAACTGTAAAGTTTGGTGGAGGAGGAATAATAGTCTGGCGCTGTTTTTCATGATTTGGGCTACGCCCCTTAATTCCAGTGAAGGAAAATCTTAACGCTACAGCATACAGAGATTCTGTGCTTCCAACTTTGTGGCAACAGTTTGGGGAAGGTCCTTTCCTGTTTTAGCATGACAATGCCCCCATGCACAAAGCGAGGTCCATACAGAAATGGTTTGTCAGGATCGCTGTGGAAGAACTTGACTGGCCTGCACAGAGCCCTGACCTCAACACCATCGAACACCTTTGGGATGAATTGGAACGCCGACTGCGAGCCAGACCTAATCGCCCAACATCAGTGCCCGACCTCACTAATGCTCTTGTGGCTGAATGGAAGCAAGTCCCCGCAGCAATGTTCCAACATCTAGTGGAAAGCCTTCCCAGAAGAGTGGAGGCTGTTATAGCAGCAAAGGGGGGACCAACTCCATACTAATGCCCATGCATCCTTTTGGTCATGTAGTGTATATTTCCAGGCAGTCAAATACAGCAAAGTATTTGTTTTATTGTGTACTCATACAATTTAATTCATAGCTGGGAGATATCACTGCACACACCAGAAGTAATGTCATATATTTGCCCACTTCAGGCCCTTTCAATCAAATCCAAAGTAAAGAAATCCTCTAAGGTAATTCCAACGTAGCCTACTACTGGGAGTTTGCAGAACCTGTTGCAGAGCTCAGGTAATCATACATATTGCACAATTTAATAAAGCATTTACAAATTTTTTTATTTTTATATACTAAAACCCTGCAATGGTTCATACATTTATAAATTGCCTAATCATGTAGCTCAGGACTGCCCAACCCTGTTCCTGTGGAGCTACCGTCCTGTAGGTTTTCACTCCAACCCTAATCTAGCGCACCTGATTCTAATAATTAGCAGGTTGATAAGATGAATGGGGTTGGAGCGAAAACCTACAGGAGGGTAGCTCTCCAGGAACAGGGTTGGGCAGTCCTGATGTAGCTTATGCCCAGTAGGTGATGGTTTTGAATGGACTCTTATCCTTTGATTTGAACATTTCTTACAACTTCTCATTGTTTCATCCAAATGGAGCTAATAGTGAATGTGGCTTTTTTAGATAACTGCTATTATAGAATAGGCTTACATAACATATTTTTCATAGTGACCGTATATTTGGCATCAGCATTTAAACAGACTCCACTTTGAACAACTTAACTACAAATAGACTTAGACAACATTTGTTTTTTTATTGTCCACTGAATGAGTGAATTCAATCAGGAGTTGGATACACGCTGAATCTATGAATAGCAAAGACCTGATCAATGCCTCGAGGTTGCTTCTCAGGGCATAATTAACAAGCTGTACAGATCTCTCGCTCTCTCTCGGTATGTATGTATGTATATATATATATATGTATGCATGCATATATATATACATACATATATACAGTACCAGTCAAATGTTTGGACACACCTACTCATTCAAGGGTTTTTATTTAATTTTAAAAAAAACTATTTTCCACATTGTAGAATAATAGTTAAGACATCAAAACTATTAAATAACACATATGGAATCATGTAGTAACCAAAAAAGTGTTAAACAAATCAAAATATATTTTATATTTGAGATTCTTCAAAGTAGTCAACCCTTAGCCTTGATGACAGCTTTGCACACTCTTGGCATTCTCTCAACCAGCTTCACCTGGAATGCTTTTCCAACAGTCTTGAAGGAGTTCCCACATATGCTGAGCATTGGCTGCTTTTCCTTCACTCTGCGGTCCAACTCATCCCAAACCATCTAAATTGGGTTGAGGTTGGGTGATTGTGGAGGCCAGGTCATCTGATGCAGCACTCCATCACTCTCCTTCTTGGTCAAATAGCCCTTACACAGCCTGGAGGGGTGTTGGGTCATTGTCCTGTTGAAAAACAAATGATAGTCCAACTAAGCGCAAACCAGTTGGGATGGTGTATCGCTGCAGAATGCTGTGGTAGCCATGCTGGTTAAGTGTGCCTTGAATTCTAAATAAATCACAGACAGTGTCACCAGCAAAGCACCCCCACACATCCTCCTCCATGCTTCACGGTGGGAACCACACATGCAGAGATCATCCGTTCACCTACTCTAAGTCTCACAAAGACACGGCGGTTGGAACCAAAAATCTCAAATTTGGACTCATCAGACCAAAGGACATATTTCCACCGGCCTAAATGTCCATTGCTCTTGTTTCTTGGCCCAAGCAAGTCTCTTCTCCATATTGGTGTCATTTAGTAGTGGTTTCTTTGCAGCAATTCGACCATGAAGGCCTGATTCACGCAGTCTCCTCTGAACAGTTGATGTTGAGATGTGTCTGTTACTTGAACTCTGTGAAGCATTTATTTGGGCTGCAATTTCTGAGGCTGGTAACTCTGATGAACGTATCCTCTGCAGCAGAGGTAACTCTGGGTCTTCCTTTCCTTTCCTGTGGCGGTCCTCATGACAGCCAGTTTCATCATAGCGCTTGATGGTTTTTGCGACTGCACTTGAAGAAAGTTCTTGAAATTTTCCGGATTGACTGACCTTCATGTGTTAAAGTAATGATGGGCTGTCATAATACTAAATTGTAATTATTTTGCACTATGGCCTATTTATTTCCTTACCTCCATAACTTACTACATTTGCACACACTGTATATAGAATTTATATTGTGTTATTGACTGTACGTTTTGTTTTTGTTTATTCCATATGTAACGGTGTTGTTGTTGTTTTTAAATCGCACTGCTTTGCTTTATTTTGGCCAGTTCGCAGTTGTAAATGAGAACTTGTTCTCAACTGGCCTACCTGGTTAAATAAATGTGAAATTAAATTAAAATGTATCTTTGCTTATTTGAGCTGTTCTTATAATAATAATAATAATAATAATAATAATAATAATAATAGTAATAATAATAATAATAAGCCATTTAGCAGACGCTTTTATCCAAAGCGACTTACAGTCATGTGTGCATTCATTTTTACGTATGGGTGGTCCCGGGGATCGAAACCACTACCCTGGCGTTACAAGCGCCATGCTCTACCAATTGAGCTACAGAGGACCATAATATGGACTTGGTATTTTACCAAATAGGGCTATCTTCTGTATACAAACCATACCTTGTCACAACACACCGGATTGGCTCAAACGCATTAAGAAGGAAAGAAATTCCCCAAATTCACTTTTAACAAGGCACACCTGTTAATTGAAATAAATTCCAGGTGACTACCTCATGAAGCTGGTTGAGAGAATACCAAGAGTGTGCAAAGCTGTCATCAAGGCAAAGGGTGGCTACTTTGAAGAATCTCAAATATAAAATCTATTTTGATTTGTTTAACACTTTTTTGGTTACTACATGATTCCATATGTGTTATTTCATAGTTTTGATGTCTTCACTATTATTCTACAATGTAGAAAATAGTAAAAATAAAGAAAACCCCTGGAATGAGTAGGTGTGTCCAAACTTTTGACTGGTGCTGTGTATATATATATCTATATATATACATATCAGTCAGTGTTTGACGGACGGTCACCCCTTACCTCTGTGTAGTCGAAGTCCGAGAGAGGTGCTATACTTTTGATGTAGTCAATTCTGGACTGGTTCGCTGGGTTGCCTATTGGAACTGGGGGTATTAACGTGCTCATCGCTGAAACCACCGTCTAGAGAGCGGGAAAAAAAAAAAAAAACACAGACATCAAGCTGGACACACGGGGACAAGCCCGTCTATCAGTCAAATGGAACTGCAGGAAAGAAAATCTCATAGGGTGTGATCATGTACATTCTATCATACAAATCTCAGCACATCATCTTTTTATTTGAGTAGGCTACATACAGCCTACAACTTACCACAATGGCATCCTTGACATTTTTCCGAATGTCCAGGACCTTCTGTTTCTTTTCTCTGGGTGGAGAAACAACATATAGAATTAGGATTGTTAGGCATGAATGAATACTGGAAAAGTGATCACTGGATTAATTAAAGGAATCTTTATGCCATTCTGTAGAAAGAAGAGGATGTCTCATAGCACCACTAATGCAAACCATCATAGGCCTAATAGCTTATTTGGTCATACTTACCATTTGTAAATGAATAGCAATTATGTATTGTGCTAAAATGTTATTTGAAAGTTTACTTGTTATGCTATTACAGTAGCCTCCCACTGGACACAGACAATAATTCAACGTCTATTACACGTTGGTTCAACGTCATTTTGAAACAGGTTGATTCAACCAGTGTGTGCCCAGTGGCTGTTAGCGCTACCCCAATATTCAGAGAGATTTGTTCCATTCAGCACCAAAAGTGGACGGACATTAAGCATTGACTATATGTATCTCGGTCCATTTGCTCAAATAATATCAAAGATATTATTAAATATATAAATAGAGGACCGTTTATGATTGGATATTATCATTCATTTTCCTAAAAAACGGATTCATTACACCTCTACAGCCAATACAGAAGACTATCCTACACTGCACAATGTAACCAAATCAAACGATAATGTAACCAAGTCCAGATGGGATATCATAGGCCATAGAAAGGCTTACAGATACATTGTTTCAGCATCGTTGTAAAATACCACTGCACACGTTACTTTTGCATAACCGTTTTTTCAGCCAATGAATTCAGTTTTTAGATTTTTTTGTTGGCTTGCGCATAATAATGTAATAGCAACTGTAAGCCTAACATTTATCTGGCAGTGTTTTGGCACACAGAATCTAGACCACATAATATGACGTCTTTATCTCTGTGACAGCTATTAGAAATCAGTTGGACATAGCAGGATTGTCGCCATGCTGTTGTTAAAACCATTGGGCCCAATGACTCCCGATGGACACTGCAGTGCTACAGCGCAAAGAAACGTCTACCCAACACTCGGTCATTTTCTTATCTTACAGGGAACAAATTAAAATGACAACAATAAAACATATTCTAATACCTAACAATATCCACATAGAATAGGAATACGTCAAACTTTGGCACGTAAATGCGGTCAAATATATGAAATAACGGGTACTTACTCTGCGTTAAAGCCATTGACGTGCAGAATCCGCATCTGCTTGACAATCGTGCTTTTCCCAGACTCTCCGGCCCCTTCGACATAAAACACAGATCTAGCATAAGGACCTGGAGCCATCACTAAAATATATAAAAAGGTACTTGGGTGCCTCATATGCTGGTGTTTAAATCCATGAGAATTAGGCTACAATCCATCTGAAGATTCAGTCAGCGCTCGGTTGCGAGACCTGTCAACGTATGTGGGCTGGGGTGCGAATCTCTGAAAACATACATGATACATATAATTTATCAAATCCACCTTCTGGACCTTACCCAATAAAAGCAGTCGATGTGTGGCTTTATATGTTTGTCTTTCCTTTTGTAATTGTTTCTCGATTTTTTTATTCGCTTCTCTTTGTGCCTTTTCATCGATGCGTTGATCTTCAGTCTTGCTGTTGCCCAAACAACCCATCTTCCGCTGACCTCTTCTCGTAAACAGAAAGTATAAAATAACAGCTAATGTAAATCCTTCTTTCAATATAAAAGGAGAACAAATGGCACGAAAAATCCGTGCGCCACTTCTGTCGCTCAGAAAAAACCTTCCCCGTTACAATTTCGTTTTAACCCCTTGTCAAACCCAATCCAGTAGATTCAGTCGATTCTAATAAATATGTGCATCATAAATATAACAAAAATATACATTAATTTCATAAATATGCAAAGAGTGGAGCGGGGCTGAATCTGGAAGCCAGCCAACTGCTCCTTTCTCTCGCTCCTGCTTCCCACTCTCTATTTTTCCTGTCTAAAATTCTGTTTGTGTTTCTGTCTCTTTAACTCAGCACTGCCTCTCTTTGTAGCACCAGGAAGTCACACAGCACCGAAAAAGAAACACCTCAGAGCGCGCGCCACCATACCACTGTTTGAATATCCAGTTTAACAAAACATTAATCGACGATATTTTCTTGATTTGTACCGCTAGAACAAACAAAAAGGACAGGCTACGTTCATCTAGTAAAATGTGCGTCAAAGGCTTTAGCTTCAATAGGATGGGGGCCCCAGGGAAAGTTAAGACTACCCGTTGATATGGTTTCTATATTTGCCTATTTAGATACATATTTACACTATTAAATACATACGCTACAACAATAGAATAATTCAAAGCCTTGATGAATGTATTGCAAACTCTCTAATGGCGCATCTGATAGCCTAATGAATGTTCAGCATTAAAAAAAGTGAATAATATAGTAAAATATAGTTTACAAAAACGGGTTTATGTTTGTGTTATTATTGAATAGAAAATGCACCAGACAGACACGTTTTCCACAAATAGTTTCCCTTGTCTACTTTGTGCGCGTAAATCATTTCACAGGTGCGCTCAAACACGGGTGAATGGAGCTAAACTACAGCGCGCGACCAAGCAGGGCCGCACACCAGGGTCCATAGTATCCAGGATCCCTACCCCCATTGAAGTGGTCATTTAAAAAGGGTTAAGGTTACTCATGTGGAAAACTGATTGGATTTGCAAAAATTCAACAACATCAGGTTATTTCGTCTCTTTTGTACCCAACTTGTAACCGAAATCCAATGGCATGGTGAATTTTTTTGTTGATTTCATTTTAAATTCAAGTTAGTTGAAAACTCAACCAAATGTAAATCAAAACTATACCTTGAAATCTGTGCCCAGTGGGAAGGGTTAGGGTTAGGTAAGGGTTAAGGTATGGGTTAAGGTTAGCGTTTAGGGTAGGGACGTCCCAAGGATCCCGGATAGCACTACGCCGCACAGCAGCCCCATAACCACACAAACCATTTTGAAATTACGAGACCAAATGATAACACAGTTACAAAATCTGTACAAATAAGAAATAGAAAAGTATAGTTGGCTGCTATTTAAAGTTCTCTGAAGTATTAACTTGACATATGCCTACTATAGCCTACTACTGTACATTATCTTGAATATGTAGCAATACAAAATGTCACACTATAATAATAGTAGAGAATCTAAAGGTTGACTATAACAGAAAAGCACCTCAACCTTTGAGGAAAAAAAGGCAGAATGCAAATGCAATGGAATATATGCAAACAAGTTGGAGTTTGCATATCAGTGTCCATGTCCTAGCAGATATGTAGCGAGTGAGAGCCCAAGACAACCTCCCAATGTGATAGGATGGAGGAGCTTTCTGGGTCATTTTAAGGGTAGGTTGGATAAATAGACAAATGTTCTGACAACCAATAAAAGCCATCCTCTAAGGAAAGCATTGTTGGGGGGAAATGAATCACTAATGAAGTCCTTTCAAACCCCAATAAGATGTAGTGAACTAATTGAAAGACATCAGGTACACTGAATAAAGGAGTTTGTGATCTGAAGTAAGTGGGGTAGATGTGTTTGACCGTTTCAGTGGCAAACTAGACTCAGAAGGACTAGAATGAATTACATCAATTGAACGATTGATTGATTAATTTCCAAAATGTCAACAAAAAAAAGAATTCAGACCTCATATCAAAACATGGATTATACTAAAAGTAGTGTGCGGTATACTGGCAACCGTGAGACCACATGAGATGGTTATCTGTCGTGATATGTCACTGGCGAGAACATTACAGCCTCCAGAACAATTGAAAGATTTTCCAATACCAAAAAAAATATGAAAACAAGATGCAAATGTGATCTTATAGGGCGAGTTGACCAGTGTGTGGCTCCTCTGGATGCAAATGTAGCCTTCCTAACTGTTAATGCTGTGTGCACTGTTGAGAGCAGTATTCAGAAGTGAGTCATGTCCTGTATGTCTCCCTACAGTGGCCATGGGGAGTTAAGACAATCTTTTTTTTGTCACTGATTTTGTTTTTTTGTCACCTTTTTCGATACAACTATGTGAGCTACGGTGCCCAAGTTCTTTCCCTCTTTGGCACAAGGAGTTAAGTAACAAAACACATCTATTTAATGCCAGCGGTCAATGTAAATCAGCCCCATTGGCTATTGTCTTACATTGCCTTTTTCCTCCCTCTTGTGGTTTGCATGAATATTACACTTTAATGTGTGATTTACAACAAGGGAATGGTCCAGAAAAACAGGTGTCCTTTACTATAGAGCCGTGACTATGACTTTCACCCCTCCTCCTTGATCCCCGTTGCCTCGGGTATGAGGGGTTAATATATGCTCAGGTCATACGCTACCTTAGGCTGAAAAACAGGTTTCCAGTCTATCTTTAGTCAGGTGTATTCTTTCGGTTTCCAGTGAGTACACATAATAATAATAATAATATGCCATTTAGCAGACGCTTTTATCCAAAGCGACTTACAGTCTACACATAGGTGGTTAGAGATTAAGAAGATATCTGGAATACTAACTAGCTTTCTAAAAGTTATCCATAGTCATAACATGAGATTCACAACAGACCCACTACAGGGTCGTGTTCTTTAGGCACTAAATGGAAGAAAAACGGCTTGACACAGGGAGGGACTTCCTGGACTTGTCCAATAAGTAACGCTCATTTTCGTTTTTCTTTCTGCAAAACACTTTGCTACGGTGTACCCTACTGAACTCGACCCAGGAGAGCTGCAGGTTAGTACTGACCAGGTAAACATGGAAATTGCAAAAGCGAGTTGAGAGTGCATCTATGAGCAGGGAGGTCTGTCAGCAGGCTAAGAACAGGGAGGTCTGTCAGCAGGCTAAGAACAGGGAGGTCTGTCAGCAGGCTAAGAACAGGGAGGTCTGTCAGTAGGCTAAGAACAGGGAGGTCTGTCAGCAGGCTAAGAACAGGGAGGTCTGTCAGCAGGCTAAGAACAGGGAGGTCTGTCAGTATGCTAGTGGCCAAATGAGTGAGTTTGGGATATTACTGTCCTTTGTCACACATTCCTGGTGTGTGATCTTTTGTTTTGTTTTGGTTCGAGATGAACTTTCAATCCCGCTGGACAGCCCTGGGCTAGTATCCGCAGGACGTGGGGCTCAATTTAGAAAGCGAGAGTAAAAATATGGGCAGAAAACAGGACGCACATTTTCTCCCCAGATAACGGTAGGTGTAAGAGAGGTCTGTTGAGGTCAAGACGAGGTCATCACCGTCTGTCTGGCCAGAGTTGGACACAGGACTGAGCAAGTCAAACTATTTCCAGGAATGACATATCTTTACAAATGGCACCCCATAATTAAGTCACCTTAACTTGAACCCTTTGTAGAAAGAGTCGTGGTAATTATGTAACGGATGTCATAAATATATCTGGATGCTGGACTGGTATCAGCTTTCAAACAGTTGGAACTAAACCAAGGTTTAATGATAGCCAACATGCTTCCCTCGTGACATTTTATCTCATGAGTTAAGTCAGTTGACATAAACACATAAATGCCTAAAATCTGTTACATCACTATTATAAAAGCAATATGTAACCCTTGTAATTTATGTATCCAGTTAAGCACTCTATACAGTGAATCATATTCTCAGATTTTGAGTAAACTCCCAGGTCAGATCTACTGGTCTAGTGACTGAGGGAGAAAACTGATTAGGGACGTTGACGTCAAGGAACATTAAAGGATGTTAGAAGAGATCAGCAGTGAGAAGGAGGCTTTTGTCCCAATAACCTGACCAACCTATGTGCAGTACCTGCTGACCGAAATGTAAATAGAATGAAGCAGTCCAATTTTTCCTATTACCAAACAGAGAAATGCCACCAAGGCTTATAGATAAAACCTTTTGGGGACATATTTGGCCTTTTCACACAGCAGGTTCTTACCTCAGAATTATCCTTAATGAATATAAAAATTAGGTGAAAACGGGAACAACAGAACTGATTGGCCTAGCCTAGCCCTGAAAATATGATGTTTTTAAAAGCTCTCAATTGTGGATTGCTTACTCACTTAGAAGGTTAAATGCAACTTATATGACTTTGGTGTTACTTTTTCAAAAGATGGCCACTATATCCATTCAGGTGAATCACAGCTACTCAGAACATTTGCATATTTGGATGGAACCTGAACCTGCTTGAGAGCATCTCTGTTCCATTTCTTGAAATTCCGTAACCCAGATTCTATCTGAATACGGGCTAAAAATAGCCTCGCGGAGTGTGTTCTCTCGCTCTCTCTCTCGCTCTGTGCCTCTCACTGCTGCTCTGATATGGAACGATAACAGAGCCAACCTGCCCCTTAGCATGCAGAAAACACACTAAAAAATGAACATGCACACAGATCACTGTACACATACTGTATGTACACACTTCCCTTTGCTGCCTCACAAACTTGCTCCACCACATTCACAGGTATACACACATGCACGTACACACACCACTTGAACTCAAACTCAATTTTCATAACTAAGGGGTATGTGCTGTATGAATAATCAATGACCATATGGTGCTCTAAGGCAAAACCTTCCCGTCCATCTCTTATCATTGGCCATCCCAGAAATGAAACATCCCAATAGCTGAAAACGTGGCTGCCATAATCAGGCCATGAGACCGAGAAAGCAAGGTGGGGAAGGGTTTATACGACGGACCGGCAGCAAAAATAGCACAGACTTTGGACTATTCCCACTTGCTTCTATATATGGCAACTTGACACAAGGATGGACCTTACTCTCAATAAACAGGATATCATAAGATGGAATGAGACGTGCATTACAGTAGGAAAGTTGGGAGTTGTTGGTCAAGGAGAGAATAGAGCTAATCCTAATCATCTCAGCCCTTATTTGGTTACAGACAGACCAACATGCCAGCAGTAAAGTACGCTAGCAGTAGCAAAGTATAGTATTCATATTTGTAGAACTGTGATACCCGCCAGGGCAAGTGTATGCAGTGAAGGGTAGTGCCTAAATACATGATGATAGAGTTCTAGCAGGGTAGTAGAATCTGGACACGCCTGTGTGTGTGTGTGTATCCAAAATTCTGTCCGTTTTCCCAGAGGCTGCTTTGGTGGCCTTGGTCCCCCACCTGAAAGTACATGTGGGGGGTGGGAAATTGGCTCAGATGCACATAGGCAAGCCCAGAGATGTGTTAGCAATAAACTACCAACAGGTCACGTACCATTCTCACACTTTTATGCCGGCACGAACCATACTGTGCTAGCTCTGTTGTTTTCTTTTCACATTGTCCTCATCACAGTTCCAGCAACTATAGCGAATACATAACCAGGTCTGCACAGTCCAGCTTGGTTTGGCTCAGCTCAGCTTGGCTCAGTAGTGTGGAAAGGGTTATGTAGTAGATGAGTGTTGGGCATATGATGCCTGCCTGTGCTCCCAATGATGATCAACCTCCATCAGGAATGCTGAAATACTTCAGGATGATTGAAGGTTATGCAAGATGATGCCGATTGTCTTTTATGTAATAATTCAAAGAAATTGCCATTGGTAGGCCTACACTTTGATTTCCATGGTAGTTTAGTTTTATTAAAAGGCAAACTGACTGACATTCTAAATGTCACAAACACACAAACTTTTTATTAGAATCCGTGCTGATGCTGTCCTGTGTCTGACACGGTCATAACATTACCTGACTGTTGGCTCTGACCACCTCCGACCTCTCTCAACGTTAGATTCTTTACACTAACACTAGCTGAAGTTACGTCACCTTCCTTCGGCTGCCCTTCCACATAAAAAGCAGAGGAATGGTGTTACATCTAGTGTGCTTGTCATCTCAGCTGTAAACTGCTATAGCTTACACTGTATAATAACATGCTATCATGGTACAGCTCATTTCTAATTGGCAGATGTGAGTGTTATGGTCAGCAAAGTATTTTCTGATCTTCACTGCCCGCTGTCAATAAAAGGATAATTCTGTCATTGGACAAACAAATGACTTTTTGATTCAAAAACAGTAAATACAGATTGCTACCCTCATTTGAAATCTAGACTCCATCTGAGGTTATAAGGGGAACAGACTGACTGATTGATGTTCCAGGACACTTGCTGGTCACATGCACTAGCCTACTGCCACTGCTAGTTAAGCAGCATTTGATGTGTGCCTCTTGGTCTTTGATAAACTCGTTTTTTGGAATGCCGAGATACTACCACTGTGAAGGTTACACATAGCCTGGTCCCAGATCTGTTAGTGCAGTCTTGCCAACTCCTATATGATCATTGTCACGTTAAGGCAAGACTTCAAACAGATCTGGGACCAGGCTAGGTTACACAAGGGGCTGTCATCGTGACATTGTTAGAAAGCACTATTTCCATGCTTGATTTGGAATACATGGGACTGGATGAAAGTATCTGTGTGGGTGCATGTGTAAATGTAATGGTAGGCTACAGTAGTCTTGAAAGTGTGTTCTTCTTTGGTTTAAAATGACGTTTGAAATACTTTAAAAGTGGCACACATGTTGACCATGTAGGGCTGGGCGATATATTAATTAATTTGAATGTATGTTTTAGCGCAATGTTCCAAATGCCTGTATCGCAGGAATCAAGGTTGTTTTTTTTCTCCCGTTTTTTTTATGAGCGTTTGTCTTTTTAGTCGTGTGTCCTTCGCTCCTTCTGTGCTGTGTGCACTGTGCACCTTCCCATTTGCACACAGACACCAAGCCCCTCCCTCTGCCACCAAGCCCCTCCTCCTGCCACTCACAACAACAAAGAAGCAGCTACATCATATCGCTGAGTCTACCTTTAAAGCAAGTTTTCTGCAATTCTACAAACAATTATCATATTTTTGGGGAGTGGCGGCAACGATTTAGCAGCGGCGGCCCTTTGCTGCTAAATGAATATAGGGGAAACACTGAGCCTTATATTAAACCTTGTACATAGTCAATATAAGGCTCTGCCACAACTTCAGGGTGGCATTATTATCATTATCTGTATTAGTGACTGAAAAGATCATTTGAAGTTGCTGGGTTAAGTGTCTCTTTAACATCTTCGGTTGCCTCTTGTAAAGCATTGGTACACTGATAATGATGACTCCATTGCATGATGTAGGCCTATTGCATTTTCAATTACAAGTGCATTTTCAAGGACATTTTGTGTGTATACTGCTTCAACCTGGGATGAGAACCAGTACTTAATATTATGGTATCAATGCTCTACCATCCATATACTCCTGTGACTATAACCTACTCATCACTGGTAGGCTACATTTTCAGGCCTAATGAATCAATACCCATTCATAAATGCAAACATATTTTGAATATAACATATTAATTAATTGGTAGAGGAGAACTAGTGACCATAGACCTGGTGACCATCAGGACACCACGTGTTAGTGGTAGGCCTTGCATTAATTGTCTGAGACGTTTACAGGTATGTTGATAGCGCGGGAATTGGCACAGGGTTGAGCGGTTCTCGAACTAGCTATCCTAATAGGATAGCCAGGCGCTACTCACTCCCATTCATCTATTTTGTTCCATTTCTTTTGATAGAGCTAATATATTCAAATCATAAATCTCATTGGTTTGACTTTGTGGCACGTTGATTGCAGAAGGATAACATAACATACCTCATATAAGCCTACCTTACAGCCTTCCGTTTCTCAGGACATCCGCAATGAAATGTCAAATGGGGGGAAACGTTATTTCAGGGCTGAAATGTGATACACAAGAGCACTGGGCTGGTCAATTTATTAGCCCCAACCTTACCATCTCACACCTACCGAGTAAAAGCAGACGAGGCGTCTGCTCGTATTCCCGTTGTTGTTCCTTCAGAGTTTGATCAATGTGTTTACTGACTTTCTTCGCCTGTTTTTTTACCTCCTTCTCCTCTGATAGCTTTTTGTCCAAGTTTTTCTGTTTCTGTTTGCTGAGCGTTTTCTGCAGCAATTGCTGCTGCTGGCTGCGGTCTGCTCCCCCGCCGCCCCCATTCTGTATGGGCACGCCGTCAGTCGTGTCCCCTCGACGGGCATCTCCTGCTGATGGTTTGCCTTTGCCAGGGCCGCCGCGGCGACACCAACAACTATGGAGCCGTGTCATGTCATTATATGCCTCTGTATCCTCGTGGTCAAGGTCCTTGGAGCGTAACCGTACAGAGGAGTCCGCCGGCTGCTCGGTATCACCGGGTTCGTCAAGACTAAGACGCAGGCTATAGCACAGTCCCATTGTCGTGTTTGTTCCTTAGTAAAATGGAAACGAAAAATTCAGATGAAAAGCTAAAAATTCCTCAAAAGATGGTACCTGTACTCATGCGGCATTTCCCTGTCCTGTGATGTGTGTGGAATTCCAACTGGAGATGTTATCTAATCACGGTTCTGGACTTTTTGGTCCCGTCTGTCAATGACAGGCAGCGCGTAATTGGATCCACGGAGCTATATTAAGAACTAGAGACAGCCTCCAAGATGGCCAACCATTGTTTTCATCGTACTCTACACATGGTCACATATGCCGATTCGTGGGGGCTGACATCTTGCTAGTTCCGGTTTCAGGGGCTGATATCTTGCTAGTTCCGGTTTCAGGGGCTGACATTTTGCTAGTTCCAGTTTCAGGAGCCTAGAAGTACATGCGCAATAGCACTGGAGCCAAGCCAAGCTGGGAGCAGGGACTTGCATTTCAGCGGAGCTAGAGCGGGGCAATGGATCCAGTGGTGTAGTGCAATTTTTTTGTGAGGGAGTGCCACATTTTCTAAATGTAAACGAAGGCATCATTTCCTCAATCAAAGTTTGTACCCACAGATGTAGCCTATTGAACAGTGTGTCATGATAGAACAGGGCTCTCCAACCCTGTTCCTGGAGAGCTACCCCACTCAGCACTTGACGTTCATGGACGTTGAATTATGGGCGATATCAGATCCATCCATCATGGCCACTATTTTTCCTACAAATGTAGCTTGTTAAATTGTCAGATGTTCTGACATAGGCAGAATATGACAGAAAATGGCCTGTAATCTAATGAGTGCACAATTTAACAACTGAATTTATAACAATTTGAATTCAATATTTTAACCGCCATTTCTTCTTTGACAACGTTACTGCGCATGTGCTAGGGGGACACACGACTTTGAGCCATTTGCGCCATTTTCCCCTCTCGCGACCACACAGTAGCCACACAGCACAGCGACGACTTTCAAAATGTTGAGGACAAGCAAGTGTGGGGACATTTTTGTCAGAATCATTTTATAAACATTTTGTAATCTGTTCAGGTCGTAAACTATTATTTTCTGTAGTCTTTTCCCTAGAATGCAGATGCTTGCTAGCTAATGTTACAACACAGACAGAAGTGGATAGCTAAATGTCTTTGGCTAGATACAAGGCGGGAAAACATAGCTAACTGATTTGCTAACTATCTAACGTGCTGTATGGGTTAACTAGCTTTCTAAATAGCTAGCATTCATAGTTTGTGAGAGAGTGGCATTAATAAGCCACTAAGAAGGGGAGATGAGGACAATGAGTTGGCCAAATGTATTTACCTAGATAGCTAGCTACTGTTGGTGATTAGCTAGTCATTGGTGTGTGCGCGTGTAGCTAACTAACGTTAGTTATGTAGCTAGCTAGCTAACATTAGCAAACCATTTTTTCTCTAGCAGCTAATGTTAACGTTAGCTACTCTGGGTAACGTTACCTGCAGTCAGATGCTAATTTACCTAATAGGTAAACAAGGTGGGAAAGCATAGCTAGCTGGTTTGCTAACTAGCTAACTAACTTGCTGTAGTTATCCAACTATCATAGTTAGCTAGCTAGCTCGTAATAGGGGCTTAATATGGCACTAAGAGAGGGGAAAGAGGTTGGCTAAATTTACCTACTGTTGGTGCGCCAGCACGCACTTTTCTGTTGTGATACATTTGATTACTGTCCCATTTGTATTAGTTAGTTAGTTAGTTAGTCAAACATGTTTTAAGTGCTCAAAATCATGAATCATGTCCACATTTTGTTTTAAACTTTCACCCCCTCTCTGTGTGTGTGTCTGTGTCACTCTCACTGACAAATGCAGTAAAAAAAAAATCATTTTCCTTACCAGAGTTTTGTTAGGCTGTGATGCACTTCACTTTATTGCTGAATGACAACTCTGTAATAGCTAGCTAGTGATATTATTGTCATACCAGTGGCATAACTGTTAACTGTCATGGTAGGATAATATCACCAGATCATTTTTACAATATGTTGACATGCCAAGGCTAATTTTAGCTTTTTTACACAGATCAGCATGGTGTTGGTGTGCTGTTACAGAAGGTATGTCATGTAACAGTTGGGTTTTTGCATAGCTGATGTTAAAACATAAAATACATTTGAATAATTTTCATTCCAAAACGCTATGTATCCACTGGGGGGTATCTTTCTCTTTCAGGACGATCCGCTACATATGTAGATCTGATACAAGAATGATACGTGTTTATATGGGGAAAAAAACTATTCAATTTGGTTATATATCCTTCATCCTTAGACTGCGCTGGAGAGAACCTGTCAGGCTCAGAGGTTTGTATGTCCATGCAGAAGATAGTAATTATTTAATGCAATATAATACATTCTGATTAAGGGCCTATTTATGTCTGTTTTAACTTTATCTGTCTACATCGAACATAGAAATGTGAGATAATGTCTAGATGCTTTTTATAGTGGAGATCAAGTTCATAAATTGCCTGGCTGGGCTGATGAGACAGTGGATTGCGCCGTCAGATGGAACAGAGTAAATAGGCATTTTAACGTCATAGATTTAGCCAGTGGTAACTTGTGGAATAGACAACAGTTGGAAAGTGGTTTTAACCAATCAGCATTCAGGATTAGACCCACCCATTGTATAATCACTGTCACTGTGAAATCACTCAGTGGTGGAAAAAGTACTCCATTGTCATACTTGAGTAAAAGTAAAAATACCTAAACAGAAAATGACTCAAGTAAATGTAAAAGTCACCCAGTAAAATACTACTTGAGTAAAAGTCTAAAAGTATTTGGTTTTCAATATACACACAGTGCATTTGGAAAGAATTCAGACCCTTTTACTTTTTCCACATTTTGTGACATTACAGCCTTATTCTAAAATTGATTAAAAAAAATAAAAAATCCACATCAATCTACACACAGTACCCCATAATGACAAACTGAAAACAGGTTTGTAGATTTTTTTGCAAAGGTATTAAATATAAAAAAAACACCTTATTAACATAAGTATTCAGACCCTTTGCTATGAGACTCATAATTAAGCTCAGGTGCATCCTGTTTCCATTGATCATCCTTGAGATGTTTCTACAACTTGATTGGAGTCCACCTGTGGTAATTTCAATTCATTGGACATGATTTGGAAAGGCACACACCTGTCTATAAAAGGTCCCACAGTTGACAGTGCATGTCAGAGCAAAAACCAAGCCATGAGGTCGAAGGAATTGTCCGTAGAGCTCCGAGACAGGATTGTGTCAAGGCACAGAGCTGAGGAAGGGTACCAACATTTTTTTGCAGCATTGAAGGTCCCAAAGGACACAGTGGCCTCCATCATTCTTAAATGGAAGAAGTTTGGAACCACCAACTCTTACTAGAGCTGGCCGCCCGGCCAAACTGAGCAATCGGGGGAGAAGGGCCTTGGTCAGGGAGGTGACCAAGAACCCGATGGTCACTCTGACAGAGCTCCAGAGTTCCTCTGTGGAGATGGGAGAACCTTCCAGAAGGACAACCATCTCTGCAGCACTCCACCAATCAGGCCTTTATGGTAGAGTGGCCAGACGGAAGCCACTCCTCAGTAAAAGTTACATGACAGCCCACTTGGAGTTTGCCAAAAGGCACCTAAAGACTCTCAGACCATGAGAAACAAGATGCTCTGGTCTGATGAAACCAAGATTGAACTCTTTGGCCTGAATGCCAAGTGTCACGTCTGGAGGAAACCTGGCACCATCCCTATGGTGAAGCATGGTGGTGGCAGTGTCATGCTGTGGGGATGTTTTTCAGCGGCAGGGACTGGGAGACTAGTCAGGCTCGAGGGAAAGATTAACGGAGCAAAGTACAGAGAGATCCTTGATGAAAACCTGCTCCAAAGCACTCAGGACCTCAGACTGGGGCGAAGGTTCACCTTCCAACAGAACAACGACCCTAAGCACACAGCCAAGACAACGCAGGAGTGGTTTTGGGACAAATCTCTGAATGTCCTTGAGCGGCCCAGCCAGAGCCCGGACTTGAACCCGATTTAACATCTCTGGAGAGACCTGAAAATAGCTGTGCAGCGACACTCCCCATCCGACCTGACAGAGCTTGAGAGGATCTGCAGAGAAGAATGGGAGAAACTTCCCAAATGCCAAGCTTGTAGCATCATACCCAAGAAGACTCAAGGCTGTAATCGCTGCAAAAGGTGCTTCAACAAAGTACTGAGTAAAGGGTCTGAATCAGTTGCCAACTCATTTTCAGGGGAAGTTGCTAGAGGCAGTTCGATTTGTTGCTAAAAGTTGCTAAAGGACGTCATTACATAATAACGTAAAACTGTGTAATTACGTAAAATACACAATAACGTTACTCAAAATGACTGGCCATCTCGGCGACAAATATGATTTGACATTTGTTAGTTTAGATTTGTTTGTTTATTATCACATAATTTTATTTATGTGATAATAATTCAATTTCGAATGAACCAGTAATATGTATAGGGTATATTGCGGTGTTGTGTCTCACAGAAATATGTTTTGAATCATATTTTCAGCTCTGGATCTACTATTCAAAATGCTAACTGTCCTTGTATTAAGGCAACTTAGCACAAATGGGAGGACCTTGCCAATGGTGTAGTTGTGCACGTATTTAAATTTACAGCGTGGCTGACTGATTGTTTATACTGTTATAGATGTGTATTAATTAACCCCTTACACTCATGGGAATTGACCTATGTGGATAGGGCTAAATTTAAATGTTTCTTACAGAAGAAATATGGAAAGCATAGGCATAACCATGGTAGTAATTAAAAGGGAACAGTTTGGAGATTATTGGAAAATTATCAGACTAAAGCTGAGGACACAACAGTTCTCCTGACACAAGACTGAATCCAAACATTACATTGTTGATTTTATGTGCATTTGACTTTCAATGTACTTTTCACTGCATTTGTTTATAACGAAAACAAAAAATACTCTGGATACATTCAGGAATCTGATAAGAATATTCTTGGAAAATGTGGGGTAGGCGCAACATAAGACAAGA